ACCTTAGGCTGCATTATATGTATGTATGTATACAGAGAAGAACACAAATTGTATATACAACTTAAGAGAATTTTCACAACATGAGTATACTGGGAAATTGGTGCCCAGGAAGAAACATCAATTCTTCTTTCCCACCATATTCTCTTGTAGTAATTACGTCACTAGCTGTTGATTAATTTTGCTTGCTTTTCTACTTTGATAAACAAAATTATGTAGTCTATATTCTTTATGGTCTGGTTTCTTTCAACAATATGATTATGGAATTCATGTTGCGGCATATAGAGGTAGTTCATTTTATTGATAGGTAGTATTTCATCATGTAATCCACCACAAGGTTAATTGATCATTTTACTGGAATGAAAATGGAATATTTCAAGCCCCCTTTGACAAATTTAGCCTTATTAATTATGCAAGTACATCTGGAGCTTATCTGATTTGCTGGCTTTGTTACAATTTTAATCTTACATTCCATCAGTGTTTCATTTCTTATGGTTTAAAAGTACAAGACAGCCTTTGAGGGACTGTCTTTGAGGTTTTAAAAGTAGCTTATATCAGCTCATTTAATACTTACTCAAAAGTCCTTTTTTTTGTGTGTGTGGTACGGGGGATTGAACTTAGGGGTGCTCTTGTACTGGGCCTTATTCCTAGCCCCCTGACACTGTCTTGTTAAGTTGTCAAGGCTGGCCTTGACCTTGTAATTCTCCTACCTCAGCCTCCCAAGTAGTATTCTTCAGACAAGTGGATTTTTGGTGTGTGTGTGTGTGGTGGGGGGGTAAGTTATTGCTGGTTTATAAAGTAGTGGTAGTGTTTTTCGTTTATACCTGCTAGCAAATCAATAAAACTATACTTTTGTTCTTTTAGCCCTGGTTTCCTGAGGTTTGTGAGGGTTTTATGTGGCATGTCTTCAGATGAGAGGAAAGCATTCCTGCAGTTTACTACTGGTTGTTCAACTTTGCCCCCAGGTGGACTGGCAAATCTGCATCCCAGGCTCACGGTTGTGCGCAAGGTACAAAAACTCTAACTAGTGGGGAATCCAAGTGGAATTTAGTTACATTATGATTGAAGGGAAGAAAAAATATTTAAGCCTATGATCTTCTATTATTTTTACTTTCTTTCTGTAGGTTGATGCTACTGATGCAAGCTATCCATCAGTCAATACATGTGTGCATTATCTTAAGTTGCCTGAATATTCTTCAGAGGAGATCATGAGAGAACGCTTGCTAGCTGCTACAATGGAGAAAGGCTTTCATCTCAATTGAGTTCGAAGTGCAATGGGAGACATCAGAGACTTTAAAAATACTAGTGAAGCCTCTTGTGTTTGTGTGCAGAGAAGTGTATGATCCTCCACGCTAATGACATTTGCCTTTGTTTCCACCATTAAGGCTTTAAGAATATGTGGAATAAGTTTGTTAGCTGCTAATGATAAAACCAATCCTTTAACAACTCAGCCAGCAAGTATATAGCACAGAACACTGTGTTGCTTTACAAGGGCTTATGTGACTGGAATAAGGTGGTCCTACTTGACTGTTCCAAAGAGCAGCTTCTCAGATCTTCAGTGTTCACTGGTAAATTTCTAACAGTGTATTTGTGTAAAGTTTGTCATTTCATACCCCACACACTACAGTTGCCATCACTGATCTGTTTTGCTGGCTTTTAAGCTACTTTTGGTCAAAAATMCTGCTTCCTTAAAACACAGAGTTMATGAGCATCTCAAGCTTTTTCTTTTCCTTTTTAATGATGCCTGCACTATCAGAGTATTCTAGTGTTCTCTCTTTTTGTTTGGCATATAATCATGCACAACCTTTTTATTTCTTTGAGGTGGGAGTATATTTTTATTTCCTAAATGCCATACTATAAAGATCAAATTCTTAAATGAGTATGTGCAGCTCAAAAATAAAGATATATTAAGGGGGGAAAACACTGGTCTTAGGTGCAAGGCACACTTAAAGCAAGTTTTATGTTTGGTTGTATTTTCTTTGTATATTATAAACATTTATTTAACATGTTGCAGTTTGAAGTAAAAATTTTCCAAAATGTATGCTCAACAATAATCATTAAAATGTTTGCAGCGTACAAAACTGTGTCACGACTATTTCACTTGAGTCATCAGACCTAAGAACTTAACTAGATACTGTCATTTTGAATCATTCAAATTCAGTTTTCTGAAATTACTACATGAAAAAAAATTACTTTTCTATAGTAAATATACTTACTGAACTTGAAAGACTGGAAGAAATTTTCACATATTTTGACCTTACCGTTTTGTTGTCTTAAGGTATTCTTCAACTAGAAATGGCCAGTTGTTTGTGTTACCTTTTTAAATTAGCAGATCTGCTATTCACCTGTGGAAGTCTAAAATCAATGATTTTTAAATGTTGTGTCAGTACAAAAAGAAATAACCAGTATATTGCTATTTCTTGGTTTTAGAGAAGGGGCTATATTTCCATTTACTATACTCCTATTATTATCTGTGCATATTGGTGAAAGAAATGTCACTAGGCCTGATTATCCCAAAGAGCCTTTGTTTTAAGGCACTAAATGCATGTTTGAAATAACCCAATATTTACTTTTTAAAAGGTACATTACCTTTCTACATTAGAAGACATAGTTCCTTCTATAGTTAATGATTTTGGTAGTCATCTTTCAGTATCCTCGGAGGATTGGTTACAGAACATCTCATGGATATCAAAATCTGAGCATGCTCAAATATATTACATAAAGTGATGTAGTTCTTGCATATCACATGCACTTCCTCTTGTATATTTTAAATCATCTGTAGATTACTTATAATCTAATACAGTGTAAATGCTATATAAACATTTGTTATTGATAAGAAAAACAATCTACATGTTCTGTAGATTATAGGCGTATTTTTTACCCCCCTAATAATGTCACTCACTGTTGGTTGAATCCACAGATATGAAACCAATGGATTTGAAGGGCCAACCATATTGTTTTTATTTGCTGCATGAGAATATTGTGATTGTATAATCAGAGGCAACATTTAAAATATTTCATCTCAATGTCAGCTTCACAGATCCCTGTGAGTCTAAAAGTTAAAGTATAATAGCAATACTTAAATGTATAACCTGTTTCAGTCCAAAAAGTGTAGTGGTGGTAGTTTATTCAATAAATTCTTGAATACATGACTAAACCTTTATACTAGGGTTAGAATTGACATCCAGCTTATTATATGTGTAGTATTGCCATTATTTAAGTATCTAAAATATCTGTTAATTGTCAACTTTTACTAATATTGGTCTGGCAAAGGGGTAGGTAAACTATGCCTGCCACCCATTTTTATATGGCCTGAGAACCATGTAACCATGAGGGTGTTTTTAAATTTTTTAATTGGTTGGAGAAAATTAATGAGTATTTTATGATATGAAAATTATATGAAACTTAAATTTCAGCATAGGTTTTATTAGAGCACATATTCATTCATTTATATACTACTTATGCTTGCTTTTGTACATAACATTACAGTGGTGTAGTTAGCACAGACCATATGGCTCACAAAGCCTAAAATGTTTACTGTGTGTCCTTTTACAAGTTTGCTGAGCCCTAGTCTCGCAAGTTGCTACTGTAGGTAAATTGATGAGTCTTATAAAATCAGAACTGTTTACTAAATATTTTATGTGTGAAAAATGAAAGTATCTTACTGAAGTGAGATGATTTCATAGCCTATAGGTAAAATAGTCACATTACAGTTTATTTTCAATGAGTCAAGTATTGTGAGGATCATCTACTAGGGTCTCCACATACACCATGTTATTAAATATTTTTTCCTGTGATATCTACCTAATATTTTTTAAGCTTATTATTCTCTTAAGGTGCTAAAATCTGTGCCAAGATGTAATTCCACTACTATTTTGGTGTGACCCAAAAATTAATTTTGTTCACTCCCTAGCTGCTTCTGGTGTACCAGTTTCGCACTTATCTGAATGTGCTGCTGATTAAATGCTTACCAACTAGGACAGTGTTTCCCAACAACTAATGTGTCTCAGAAAGACCTCCAAAGCACTTACATTGATGTAGACGGGCTTTCCTCAGACCGTGGCAACTTAATACAAAGCTGTATCTTTACACACCTACAGCTAGCTTATTGTTCCCACACTCCATAAGCTTTCCCTCTGCCTTCTTGATGAGTCCACAGCAACTCAGGTTTGCCTTGGGAATCCACTGTGGCTAGTTTTCTGGGTCTTTGTGGATGAAAACTGAAATATGTACATAGACTTTTGGAAAAGGATAAAGAGCTTAAAGCCTCCTCATTCCTTCCTCAGACATACACAAAAGAGAATAGCAGTGTTGCATAGTTAGTCCCTAGAATGTTCATTTATGTCCTATTCTGGAAAACTGAGTGTTGTAGTTGAAAGAACTCTTAAAACATTACATAGGAAGATATTTTAATGTTTCTCTCTCTGTCCTCCTCCATTGCACCTGTCCTCCCACTCCTAAGTGTATATATAAATACTTTTAACAAAGACAGTTCCGTATTTTTCACTGTTGCCTCAGTGATGAAAGCACATCAAAAGGTTTTTGGAGATATAAGACGTTGTTCTATAGGACTTCGTATTTTGCTTCTGAGATATCCTAGGAGAGGCTAAAGGAATAAGAAGTCATTTTATTCCAAACTGAGCAGAGCTAGTCTCTTGCATATTATTTTTAAACTTTGAACTAAAACAAATTTCATTAACAAGCTTATTTGTAAGAAAAACCCTTTAAAATGTGGTATAAATGATAGTTGTAAGGGTTCTCTTCTAATGTTTTATTTGATAGTAACATTACAGAGTTAATCATATGACGGCATTGTAATTGCTAACTGCCCTAGAAATGGAATCAAAGGCTTTTAGGAACTGGAAAATAAAATTTAATTCTATAATCTTCTTTAGGTATGTATTATAGTAATATTTATTAAAAAGTAATTTTTATTAAGTTTTTTTTAAGGAAAACAAGAACATCTAGAAGACTGTTTTAAATTAAAATGCAACATGTTTAAGTCAACTTACAAATTTTATTGTCTAATAAACAACTGCCACACATTCTTCTTACTACCATCCTACTATTCCTGAATTTAATTTGCAAAGGGAAGCAGAGACCAAAGAGGATTTCTTAGGTACTCAATACAATTTGAAGAAGTGGGAAAAAATATATACTTACAGTTACTGAAAATAAAACTTGCCTCAGTTAAGAGATTTTTCTTTGTACATATTTTAAAATAGCTTTATTTTCCATGTAGAATGTGGGAAAAACCTATTTATATTGTTTGGAAGGGTACCCCATTTCGTAATAGGTAGTCTTCCAGATTCTTTTCAAATGGTCTTCACGTTTCCTATGAATCGATGCTATCTGGCAGAGCCTTCTCTTCAGCTTTCTGACATCTTATCAAGAATTTGTAGAGGGGCAAGAATTCTTGCCCGATTAGTTTCCACAATGCAGCCATTTAACACCATCTCGTCCAAAATGATGTGTACTTTATCCAAATTAAACATTATCTAGGGTCATATTAAGGAAATTAATTTTAGAGTTATAAAGATGTCAACATTTAATAAATAATAAGTTGTAGCTTAGCTTGGAATTTCCCCAATCTAAAATAATCTTAGCATGAGGGTTTTTGTAGATAATTTCTGAAATTAAAATTGGTATCCAGAACTGGGGCTGTAGCTCAGTGGCAGAGTGCTTGCCTAGCACATGGGAGGCACTAGGTTCGATCTTCAGCACCACATAAGAATAAATAAAATAAAGGGATTTTGTCCATCTACAACTACAAAGAAAAGAATTATAAAAAATAATAAAATTGGTATTTGAAATTATTATGTTGGTATACACATAACTAAGCTAACAGCATTAAATTAGGCATAGAAATGTAACAACTACATTTTTTAACCAAAGGGAGAAAACCTATTAAGAGCTGGAGAACAAAAGCAAGTAACTTTTGCCAAGAGAATAAATAACCTCACCTCAGGAGCAAAATCTTCTGGGGCAGTAATAACAACAATAGCAATGATCTGTTAAATATTCGTTATTTTCCAGGCATTATGTTGAGTGCTTTTCATATATTAATATATTCTCATTTTATCTAGGAGCAAACAGCTTAAAGCCATTGTCCAAAGGCATACAAGTGGTATATGTCAAGAGTTGGAATTTAGGCCCAGAGTTTGGACTTAACTGCTCTGCTTTTCAGGCTTTTCAGGAAGGGCCTAAGGCTTTGGAGTAGACACCCTCCCTCAGATCCCTTTCCATCTCTACCCCAAACAGTGTCTTTATAGCAAAGTAGAAAGAGATTATTCTCTCAAGAATCCCCTTCATTTGAGTACTTATCTTTTCTTTCGTGAAAGGAGAAGGGAAACTGGATAATGGCAATACAGATAATGAGATACTGAGATAATGGCAATAGTTGAATGTTCCTGAATTTTATACTTTAATTAATTATTGTTTTTTTGTACAGGGATTGAACCCAGGGGTACTTTACTACTGAGCTATATCCTTGGCCCTTTTTATTTTTTATCTTGAGACAGGGTCTCACTAAGTTGAAAATCTTGCTAAGTTGCAGAGGCTAGACTTGAACTTGCTATCCTTCTGCCTCAGCCTAAGGAATCCTTGGGATTATAGGCATGCACCCTCAGGCCCTGCCAGTTTTACACTTTAATATGTGGTGTTTCCACTTTAAAGACATCTATTTATGAGAAAAAAACAAAGCTTGTTTCAAATAGACATACTTCAGTAAAGAAGTGATTAAATACACTAGGGGAGTTCATAATTGAATGGTGAATCTTAGAACAAATCCTTATTGTAGGAATGTTATTTTCCATAACCCTTCAGTTATCACCTGATTTTTATTTTTTTTAAACAATTCCAGATGTTCAAAGTGACATTTGCTTAGTGAAGTACATCTACAAAGAATGGGACAAACCAAACTATGAATGACTTAGGTTTCTATTAGACACTGTTAATATCTCATTAAGCTTTGTGCAAATAGTCCTTTAGTAGAATAAACTTTTTCAAGAGTTGTTGGGAACTGTCCTTAAGTGACCCAGAAAAAAAAAAGGTTTACTCTGATCTACCTATTAATAATGTCTTCCAATTATATAGTTGATTGCTTTTCCCACAGCCAAACTGGGACTGGAATGAATGCTAGGCCCTTGACTCAAACCTGTTCACCAGATCCAGAAGCCAGAATGTACAAGCTGAGACAAAGTGGGAATGATAGCCAGGTAAATGTTTTTTTGTTTTTTTGTTTTTTTAAAGCAGTTGAGCCAGACATAGTGGCTCATAGGGCCTGTAATCCCAGCTACTCTGGAAGCTGAGGCAGGAGGATCCAAGTTCCAGGCCAGCCACTGTAATTTAGTGAGACCCTGTCTCAAAAAAGAGCTGGAAATGTAGCTCAGTGGAAGAGGACTTCTCTAGCATACCAAAAGCCCTGGGTTCAATCCCCAGTATAGGGCTGGGAAGGAGGCAGAGACTGAAAATCACAGGAGGCTGCCTAAATAAAGGTGTACAGAATCCCCTGTTGTATTCACTGAGAGCAATTATAGTGCCTTTGAAAATGGTAACTTTTCCAAAATGATTTTCTTTTGAGTTTGAAAAAAATCTAATTTTAATCTGTTTGAATTGGTTCAAGGATCAACCTGCTCTGAGGACTGTTCCATCTTTGGTAAGAATATGTGCAGTTCAGATGTCACCTTGGGCAAATGCCCAATTGTTTTGAAATTCAGATCAGAATTTACTTACTGCTGAATCATATCAACCACTCATAGCCCCACACTCTAAGGACAAAGTCTTTCAGCCAAGTCTGAATTTCCCAACATTCTAGAAACATGAGTTACTCTGAGATCATACTGTGGGCATGTGATTGCCTGTCTACCTGTGTATCTAGTTCAAACCCTAGTAATCATGTAGCTGCTGGCACTATATGGGGGAAACCAGACCAAATCCAATGTGAGCAGAAGACCTGGAAGCTGATTTCCTCCCTGGAATCATGTTACTCCTTTAAAATAAGGATCCAGCTGTTGTTCACATCTTGATTTGGTTTATGAGCAACTTGTACACACTGGTAAAGCCAACATTAATGGCATTTGGGCCATATGCCAGGTGAGCAAGGACCAAAAAATACCCTATATGCCCCATGGCAATAAATACACAAACACATTTCAACTCTGACATTTGGAATAGGAGGAAGCAAGAAAGACCTAGACTGTGGATCTCTTAATGTAGTGAGCTGAGAAGGACTATTGAAGGAGAAACTTACCTTCAGGCTATATTGAACTTGACTAACTCTAAAGATTCTTAAGGAAACTTGTTTCTTTCATAGGCTTCAAGGACCTGGCACGAACTAGAAACAGCTTCCTAAAGAGCACAGTTATTAATGTCACACTTTCTCTCAACCTTGAAACCTAAGAGCCTTTYTGAATTTCTATGTAATGTGGATTAGAGCTGAACATCTATAGAGTTCCTGTAAGATTAGTGCTACTTGAAATGACCTTTTTAAAAATAAATTGTTTTAGTTGTAGATGGACCCAATACCTTTATTTATTTATATGTGGTCTTGAGGGTCAAACCCAGTGCTTCACACATGCAAAACAAGTGTTCTACCACTGAGCCACAACCCCAGCCCCTTGAAATCAGCTTTTTAAGTAAAGCGATTGAATTCTTTATAGGCCTTACCTTGGAATTGTGATCTCTGGATCATAAAACACTTTTCTCAACATGGTACTTTAATACTGTGTTGGTCTAGTGATCCTTTAATTAAAAGTGAGAAAACTCATTCCACTGCCTTTCCTACCCCCCACACTCCCTCCCCTTTGCCCTATTTAGAGATCATCTATTCCTCCCATGCTCCCTGCCTCATCCCCATTATGAATCAGCATCCTTATATCAGAGAAAACATTTGGCATTTGGTTTTTTGGGATTGGCTTACTTCACTTAACATTATATTTTCAACTCCATCTATTTACCTGCAAATGCCATGATGTTTCTCTTTTAATGCTGAGGAATATTCCATACACCCACACACAAAATATATCACATTTTCTTTATCCATTCATCTACTAAAGGACATCTAGGTTGGTTCCACAGTTCAGCTATTGTGAATTGTGCTGCTATAAACATTGATGTGGCTGCATCCTTGTAATAGCTGTTTTAAAGTCCCTCCATTATAGACAGAGGAATGGGATAGCTGGGTCAAATGGTAGTTCCATTCCCAGTTTTCCAAAGAATCTCCATACTGCTTTCCATTCCTCTAAGTACATGTACAAAGACACAAATGGTGTGACTATGTTGTATACAACCAGAGATATAAATAATTGTGCTATATATGTGTAATATGAATTGAAATGCATTCTGCTGTCACATATAACAAATTAGAATAAATAAAAAAAACTGAGCAACATGGACTCAGTTGAAAACTTCAAACAATTCCAAGAGCCCAACCTAGAAATGAAAATTTCTGACTCTGTAGACTTTGGGTTCAGGTCCTTGGCTTCTCGATTTTTTATTTTTAAGATTCTAGCTAGGCAGAGTTCTTTAATAAGTAGGGTGGGAGAAAACCTTGTAATGTTATTTATACTTTAATTCAATTTCCCATGAAAGTAGAAAAGCTGTCAAAGGCCACTATGTTCACATTTCCCACAAAAAGGTAAACACTGCAGAATACTATCATGAAGGTCCATAATAATCCTGGAGACTTTCCTTGTAGCAAGGTCTTCTGTTCACTTTTGGGCTTCTTATCACCTTTTGTTAACAAAGCCACTGAAAAGGAGTGTATCTTTTTCTTTTTAAAAAAATACTTGTTTTTTAGTTGTAGTTGGACACAATACCTTTATTTATTTATTTATTTTTATGTGGTGCTGAGGATTGAACCCAGCACCTTGCATGTGCTCCATGAGTGCTCTCCCGCTGAGCCACAACCCCAGTCCTCCCTGCAAGTGTCTCTTTTTAAAAAGTATGTTTTCCTTAAAGACCCATTCATCTTTTGAGAAGAGCACTCTGGTGTAATTTTGCTTAAAGTAAATTTAAATGTGAAAGCCAGCACTAGGTTAAATGAGCCTGTTGTTTTGCCCATTCCTGTAATTTCTTACAACTTGCTGTCACTAATCTTGACCAAAATAGAATCCAGAACCACAAAACAAAAAGTGGGATCCAGCAGAAGGACATGGTGGAGACAGTAGCAGATGGATATGAAACCTAGAGGGCTCAGAACACATTTAAAGGAAATAGGTGTCAAACTAAGCTTAGTGGCAGCTGGAAAAGCTCATAAGACAAAATTTTTGGATCTGGAACATTCATATCCCTCTTCTCAGGAGAATGGCTGGCTCCTTTGGGGACCGTTCATATCTGAGACTTGTATCACTCACAACAGCACTGGTTTTAACTCAGGCCAGAGAAGGTTCCTGGTCCCTTGTCTCTCAATACCTGCCTTTCCCCAGGATGGCTGGCTGTATACATTCCCTCAGGCTCAGGAGCCAGCTCTCATCCTTGTAGCCTGACTTTAAATTTT